AAAAAAAATACCCCTCACACCTCTACCAAAATTGAAAATTAAAAAAGAGAGAAAAAGAAAAAAGGCTTTTAATTTTTGTGCCGAACCTAACCTTGAAGTTTATTAAGGGGGGTGACTCTTCAACAATATCTGGCAAAGGTAAAGGGCAAAGGTTAGGAGAGAAAGCTGATGAAAAGCTGAAAGTTGAAAAGCTAAAAGAAAGGCTGATGATAACCGAAAGAGAGAAAGCAAAGAAGAAAAAGAGCCTTTTTATTATTTTCCCTCATGTTGTTAGCTGTATCTTCTTCTTCTCCTCTTCTCATAACCCAACCCCATCTCTCTTTTCTCCATAGTTTATCATGTTCTTAACCTTTTCTCCTTGTTCTTCGTTTTTTTCCCAGCCTAAAACCTAAGATTTTTTTTTTTTACTGAATTCCGACTTCCAAATTCAGAAATAGTAAGCTAAAATCTATCAGTCATGTTAAGCAATAATCCATCTTCTTCATCCGACCCGTTTACTTCCTCAGAAAATGGAAACAATGCTAATAGAAGAAAAAGAAGACCCGCAGGAACCCCAGGTATGCAAAATTCAATGAATATGACGCCTTTCCATTTTTATTTCTTTCCAAATTTGAGATAGTGAGAATTGAACTCACACTCCCAGTCGAGAGTATATGGAAAACAACCTCTCTATCCTCACAAGGTAAGGGTAAGGTCCGCGTACGCACACGGGTGTGGGTTAATACTGGGTATGTTGTTGTTGTAGAATTGAACTCACACCTGTTATATGGACGCGGATGCCATTTTGTTGTTTTATTTGATCAGGCAAAATAAGCTAATGTGTTTGTTTTTATTTATGCAATGAAATTGCCACTAGATCCGGATGCAGAAGTGGTATCGCTCTCACCAAAAACATTACTAGAATCGGATCGATACGTATGCGAGATCTGCAACCAAGGATTTCAAAGGGATCAAAACTTACAGATGCATAGAAGAAGGCATAAGGTGCCATGGAAATTGCTCAAAAGAGAAACCCCAATTGTTAGAAAGCGCGTTTTCGTATGCCCAGAACCCACTTGTCTACACCATGATCCTTGTCATGCTTTAGGCGATCTCGTCGGTATTAAAAAGCATTTCCGTAGAAAACACAGCAATCATAAGCAATGGGTCTGTGAAAAATGCTCAAAAGGATATGCTGTTCAGTCTGATTACAAAGCTCATCTTAAAACTTGTGGCACTCGTGGTCATTCTTGTGATTGTGGTCGCGTTTTCTCAAGGTTAATTAATTTCTTCTTCTACTACTACTACATTACTTTAGTACTACTACTACTACTTGTTTTATTCTTTTCAAACGGTATTCTCGAGATGGTGGCTCTATCTTCTTGGACAGTACTACTGTATATATTCAGCTCGTTTTATTAAAAAGAGATTCTTGAAATCTACGGATGAGTAGTACGACTGTCATTTCTTGGTCAAAAACAAAACTAGTATATTTCTTTTTTGAGGGTTTTCGGATTTTTTTGATTTTGTAACGGCTGTTTAGGCTTTTGGAAAAGAAGGAAAAGAAACAGTGTCCGCAAAATTAGAAAGCGGTTTCCTTCGCCTGATAGCTGCTATATTACTTTATTTTATACTTTTAAACTGTTTTATGGACGGTTATTAACTACAATCTCAAAAAAAATCGTGTTTTGTAGGTCTTTCTTGATGCTTTAATTAATTTTTTATATATAAAAAAATTAAGCATCTCAATCCTTTTTGTTCAGCTAATCAACGTGGTTTGGCATTCATACTCTTTTTCATTATTCTATGTTTCCGAGAGGAATGAAATTGACTTCCCAAAAAAAACATTCTGCTTGCTAATTAATTAAGAAGAATGAGAAAGTTAAATTATTAATTCAGCTGTTTTTTCCCCTCTTTTTCTTCTTCTTTTACACTTTTTTACAGGTTCGTCTTATCGTATGTTAAATGTGTATTTATGAACACCATCTTCAGATATAGTTCCTGTAATTTTACTAAGCTTAGGTCTGCTTTTCATTTTTCTTACTTTTGTTCCCATATTCATCAATGATAAGCTGAGCATTTTCAGCATTTGATGAAGTTGTCCTTTTTTTACTTTTTCCATTACACCCAAAATCATTACTACTTTACTTTTATTCAAACAAGTAGTAGTAATAATTTGCATGACCAAAAATGATTACTTATATTCCTCTCTTTTATATTAGGGTGGAGAGCTTCATTGAACACCAAGATGCTTGTAGCATGGGAAGACTCCGATCAGAATCACAATCTTTACATCCATCTAATTGTCTTTCTCGCACAGCTTCAAGTCCTAGCCCTTCAAGTGACACAAATCTCAGCACAACACCATGGCCAAGTACTTTGCTCAAAAATCTGTCGTCCACTACTCATAATGCTAATCAAAGCATAATCAAGAATTCTACAAAGCAACACAATTTAGAGCTCCAGCTCTTGACTACTACTACATCTTCATCTAGCCCATTTGATGTCTCGGTATCCTCTAAACCAAACGAAGATCACTCAACTTATAATCTCCAACTCTCCATTGGTTCCTCAGATTTCAACGAGAGAAACGAGTCGTCAGAAAATGCTACTGCATTGGATGCTTTAAAGCTTAAAGATGAAGCGAGGGAGCAGTTAAAACTAGCAATGGCAGAAAAAGCATATGCTGAAGAAGCAAGGCAACAAGCGAAGAGGCAAATTGAGTTAGCCGAGAAGGAATTTGCTAATGCTAAGAGAATTAGGCAACAAGCACAAGCCGAGTTAGACAAGGCTAATGCTTTGAAACAACAAGCTATCAAGCAAATAAACTCTACTCTCTCGCAAATAACTTGCCATTCATGCAAACAGAAATTTCAAGCTCCTCCTTCAGATGGGAATAATTCGTTAACATTGAGTTATATTTCTTCGGCTTTAACAGAAGGACATCATGAAGTTGGCAAGAATATCAACCATGCCAATCATCTCAAACTTTCTCAACGTTAGTTCCTCAACACTACCTCTAGCTCTATTGTATTTTTTTTTTTTTTTTTTTGGGGTTTCTTGCTTATATGATTATACCTAGAAGTGTAGTGAGAGTGGTATTAAGAATAGTTAATGAGGGGATATTGGGTGTTATTTGTTTATTTAATTCTTGCACGATGACTGTCATAATGGTGTTTTTCAGCAAGGCAATAATGTGAGATTTCTCGGTATCAAGATTTGCAGGGGTTCTTGATTCTACTACTGGTAGTCATCAATATAGTGAGCTGTAGTATTCTTCTTTTTTCCTAAAAAAAATAAAATAAAGAAACAGAAAAAAGAGAGAACTAAATTATATTATCTGGTCTACCCTCTCAACATTTGGTAGTGTTAGATTTTGCGTTTGGACTATTTGAAGATCTTTGTTGGCTGAGGTGGTCAGAAAAATGGTGGTGACCCCAGTAGGTCCAGGCAATAAAGAAATGTACTGCCAATAAAATAATGGCTTAAAATTTGAAAAACAGAAAAAAGCAAGAAGAGAAAGAGAAAGAAAGAAGGGAATCAGATAATAGTCCTTTTCCCCTCCTCTGCTAGTCTGCATCCTTATAAATGTTAATGGAAAAACACCATGTTTTTCAGTGCCAAAGTTGTAATGGTTGATGACAGACTAGTCCCTTTCACAGACACAAACAAACTCCATTATATTCATTCACTAGTACTATTCATCATACCCTCTCTTTCTTCTTCTTTTTTCTTTTTCCACTTATTTTCTTCGATCAAAGGGAGCCTTGACGTAACTGGTAAAGCTACTGCCATGTGACCATGAAGTTACGGGTTCGAGCCGTAGAAACAAGCTCTTGCACAAATGTAAGGTAAAGCTGCGTACAATAAATCCTTATGTCACGAACCCCGCGCATAGCAGCAGCTTAGTGCACCGGGCTGTTCCATTCTTATTTCCTCCGATGTTTGTTCCTCCCTTCATCAGAATCAGTAGCTGCTGAGGCAATGAAACAGTGAGAGTACAGTTCCAGTGAGTGTCTGAGCAAAAAGACCAAAGCATCTTTCCTTTTATGCAGAGACTGTTCGCTTTTGGAACAACTCTAGTTCAATGCTATTGAGAAAATTTAAGTGGGTGTTCGTCTTTATTCATGACTTAGCGCAAACCAAAGAGTCTACCCCCCAAACAAATCCACTTTCATCCCTATATATCTTTCTTTGGTGAAATTACATGTGACCCCATATAGGTGATTTTTATCCTCCTTGTTAAGAGTCACTTAATTTTTAGACTATAAACAATAATCAAGTCACCATCCGTTTCAATTTAGATGACATAGTTTGACTCGATACGAAGTTTAAGAAAAAAAAAGAAAAAACTTTTGAAACTTGTGATCTTAAAAGCTTAAGGGGTAAAAGTTTTATGAGACCGTGACATTTGTGTGATTATAAAAGCTTCTCATTATATGTCATCTAAATTGAAACAGAGGGAGTAACTACGTTTAATCGACAGTATGTAAGATTTATAACATAAAAATAACATAATAACTACATTCAATCGACACTAATAAGATTTGTAACATCAAAATAAGATATGTATCAATTAGATCATGTCAAAGTACACTAATATAGTAAATACTATTTACATTGTCTTTGTTATGACCGAAAAAATCAGGTGTCATGCGGAAGCTAGCAAAGCAAACCTTGAGCGGTGATAAATCCAACAACAAAAGAGAAATATACCAAAAGAGACACAAACATATAACATGGTTCGGTCAATTGACCTACGTCCACAAATGGAGATGAGCAATCCACTGTATAAAAAGAGAGTACAAAATATCGAGAGAACAACCTCGCGAAGAGGCAAACACAAGTGACACACTAACACTTGTCCTGTAAAGTACTCCCCCTAAACAAGACTCTCAAGCCCCCTATGGCTACATTGTGGATGCTACTGAATGAGAAGGACGAATCTTCAATTTATAGAATCCAAACATTTTCCTACAACAAAAAGGACTAGCCAAATATGGAAGAATTATATTTTCCTTCTAGGAAAAGAAAAACCAATTATGATAAATATGTTGTCATTTCCTCCATGAGATAGGAAAACTAAATATAATAAGAAAATCTGGACAAACACCTAACAGTCTTGTCAGGGTATATCAAGTAAATTCATTTTAAAATAAAGGAAGAGGTCTGATATTTGCCTTGTATTAGCAAAATTGATCAAATTTTCCTTCCCATTTTTTGTCAATCCATACCTTTATCATTATTGATCGTCTCATATTTGACTTTGGCATTAACGGAGCTCCAGATTAAAATGAATGGATTTCATGTATGCCCAAATTTCTTTGACGAAAAAAATACCCTTCAACTTTTGATTGTTGTTTAAAATATTCCAAATTGGAGGTTCATTAGGGGTCAAGAGCAAAAATGAAACTTAATAAAAGAAAAGAGGGTATGTCATGCAAGAATTTAACCGAGGGCAAAGCTGCTCAGTTTTAAATAATATAAGAGCAAGTTTGACCTTTTTCCTGAAAAATAATGTGTTTGACTGTTGTGGAGATAACGAAAAGCAGTTTTAACTAGTTATTGCTTTATCCATTCTCAAGAAATTTGATCACTGTTCCTGTTTTGCAAGTCTATTATTTTTAGTTAGATTATTATTTTTCTCGGACCTTTATGTTTTGTTTTCGTAGATTTTATTGTCTAATGACAAAAGTCAATCTATTTATTAATTCATTCGACCGTTGAAACTGAATCATATCAACTCTATTGGAAATGTTACATTATCCGTGTATTATTATGAGTAAAGATCAGTGTTTGTGCTTAGTTGTTTAAAATCATACACAGGCCTTTAACAACAGACAAAGATCCCTCTTTCATGTCTTTTCAACGAATTAAGACTATCGACCTACGCACTATAATCAATTTAATCATTCTTCCTTTTTAACAAAGAAATTTCCATGTCCTTTGCAATTTATTTTTCTCCAACCTTCGTATATACAGTCTTTGACTTATATATACCTTAGTTTCACACAAATTTCTAAATAATACCGATTCGAGAAAATAGATGTAGATAAGGCCTAAGGGCATCGATCGGCTGACTAGTTGAAGGAAGCAAATAATAAACACAACAAAAATAAGAGAGATTTTAAAAGTTTTGAAGATAGTGAAAAATAGTAATCCCTTTGTTAAAGTTTATGTGAACTTTTCAGAGTACAATAGTTAAATTGACTAACTTTCAGGGTGAACTCAGACATAGAATTTATAATTTTTTGTAATAAACTTTATATATTTAAAAACTACATAAAAAAAGTACTCCCTCCGTTCCCGCTTTATGCGGCAACATTTTCTTTTAAGTCTATTTCAATGAAATTGAAAACTTTCTAATTATGAAAATAATTTAACTTTTAATTTCTCATTTTACTTCTAATGAGATGATTTATAACCATATAATTATTTATAACTTGTTTTAGCTACACTTTTTTAAAGTCTTTCTTTCTTTCTTAAACTCCGTGTCTATTCAAACTTTACCACCTAAAGCGGAATAGAGATAGCATTATAAGTCATAATAGTTAACAACTCAAAATATTTAAAAAAAACTTATAAAAATTGTAGTTAAAGAAAATTATGTTTGATTCCCAAATACTTGTCTACTATTTAAAAATACATTTTCACTTTTACTTGTCACTTTTAGCATATCAAGAAAAGATAATTTATTTTTTTTGTATTTATCTTTATCATTAACTACTGATTTCTCAAATTATTTCTCCAAAACTTTTTAAAATGCTATAATTATTATGGGTAAAATTATAAATACGTACTTCATTTATTTTTCCTTAAAGGAAATGCAAAATCAAAGTGAAAAATTAAAAATGATCACAGATGAAGTGTTGGGTTTTGGATGTATTTAATTAATATATTAAATACTTAAAAGAGGGTGAATGGGAAATGGAGAGAAATGAAATTTTTGAGTGAAATTTTAAGTTCCCCCTTGGTAATGAGCATTGTCCCATATTGGAAGAGGAAGAGGTTTTTTATGGGTATATAAGCAATTGCTCTTCTTCTAGCTCTTAAAGAGTTGAGAAGAAGGCAAGCCTCGCGCCGTCGTCGTCGTCGTCGTCGCTCGCTCGGCTCGGCTTCGGCTTCGGCTGGACCAAATTTATTTGTTAATAGTAAAATATTAACAGAAATGTTATTAAATATTTATTTTAATAACAGAATATTAATATTAAATCCAATCCATTTTTCTGTTTTGGTAACAGAAAAGTAACTACCCTCTTCAATTTCCCTCTTTATTTTTCCTCTTTATTGTTGAGTAAATGGCCATTTATGTAATGGCATTTATGCTGTGGGCGTTTTGCATAAACAGCCATTCTGAAGAGTTGCACCTCTTCAGATTTCAGCCCAACTTTGGCTATAAATACAACACTATTCTGCTCAGAATTTCACTACGATTTTCTGAGTTTTCTCTCCTTCTTCTGCATACTTTTAGCATCAAACAAAGTAAAAAGTAAGTGTGATTTGCTAACGAACTTTGTGTTCGCTGAAACATTGGGGTTTGAAGTACCACTACACCAGTGTGTAATTTCGTTCTATCTTGGGAGGAAATAATTCATAACCTTGGGTACTAGGAGGGGATTAAATTCCTTAAGGAAACACTGTGAATTCAGTGAGCTCGAATTGATTTTATGTCATTTCTGTTTATGTTCATTTCTGTTTATATTTATTTATATTTCCAAAATTATTTTACAAATACAGTCTAATAACATGAAGTATCACATAAAGTGGAATCCAGGGAGTAGTAAATGTTGGAACAATTTTACGCATTTGATTAAGGCCGAAAAGTAAAAATGTTGAAGTGCGAAGATAGTGCCTCATTTATCGCCATTATGTATACATTCAGCACTTCACACAAGAGGTATGGAAATATCGTCCTGAAAGATAGGCGGAAGTCAGAGTGGAATTAAGGAGTTTTAATGTTTATGAGGTTTGTTGAATGATATAATCAAATAGATATAAATATGTTCACCACCAAAGGATGTGGTGCATAGGGGCGTTCAAAATCGAATCGAAACCGAAACCGAATCGAAATCGAAGCTTAATGGCTTATTGGTATCGGGTTAACGGTTTACCGGACGGGGAACAGATTGAAATTTTTTCATTAACGGCTTATCGGTTTGAGGGCGGATTATTCAATTTTCTTAACGAAAATTCTATTAACCCGTTAAGAATATATATATATATATATATATATATATATATATATATATATATATATATATATATATATATATATATATATATATAAACTTTATTTTTATCCATATATATATTAAATATCAAAAACCCTTCCACTTCAGTCTTCCACTCTTCCGGTACTCTATCTCTAAGTTCTAACGCCTAATTCCAAAATAATCAGATTATGAAAAATATGTAACATAATCCTTGCTAATTACTTTACAAAAGGCAGAAAGTTCAGAATCTAATTCAAGCATACAAATGTTTTGGAATACTCATACAAATGAAGTAGTATTACATTATAAACAAGTCTTTCTCAGGCATAATGCATAAAGGATGCAACAACACTGAACTTGACAAGATAAGTTAGCCAATGCATCAGTTATACGATATAGGTGAGGGCGTAGAGATGTCTTCAGGCATGAACAATGAATATTACGGACACCTGATGAAAGGTGATGCGCCTGAAATCTTAGTCGTAAACATGAACTAAGTGAGTTTTCAATTTGTAAGGGAGCTGCAGCCAAACATGGATTAACACTCCCATATGGGTTCTGAACTAGTACTCCGTTTGTAGGTGCATATTTTCTAGTAATTCTGATTGAATATAGATTGATTAGGCCGACAAATCGCCCGATAACCGCCTGAGAAGAGCTAAACCGATACCAATCCGCCCGATATATTATCGGGTGACTAGCGGATTAATACATTTAAAAGCCGATAACCGATAAGTCAATTCGTAAGAGTAAATAACCGCTCAATCCTCCCGATAAGCAGCCCTAGTGGTGCAGTGGATGGGGCTGCTCCTCCCTTAACCAGAGTTCTCGAGTTCGAGCCCTGGGTATGAAAAAATCCTTGGTAGGGAGGGCTACCCCCCGAATGGGGCCCTAAGCGGCGCGAATCCGGATTAGTCGGGCCCCAATGTGGGTATCGGATACTGAGTGAGAAATCAAATAAAAAAGAAAAAGATATACATATGTTCCTCTAACAGCTAAAACTTCTAAATGAGTGGTCATATAATTCACCAAATTAAATCATGAAAAAAATCCAACCAATATGTGAGATGTGAGAAGGTGTAATCAATTGAATAAAAGTATGTTAAGATATATATGTGACACTAGTCAATTATAAGACCATTGTCTCCTACTCTAGTTTTTACTACATGAAGTCTTGAACTCTGTGAGACATTTGAAACATGTCTGTTGAAGAAACAGTGTCAAATAATTATGGCATATAAAGAGAGATTATGAGTCTATTAACCGAGATGATGGATGAAAGAATACGAAGAAGAATAAAGATCAATTGGCAAGTAATTAAAAATGAAAAGGGCAATGATAGCCAAGTTGTGCCCACTCGTAAACTTGCTAATTCTGTATTTAGTAATTAGTTTGCTAATTATGAGTCTTTGCTAATTAGTTTCATGCATTCACGGTGCAATAGGAGGATTATACGTAAAAGTTCATGTACTCATTCATTTGATCTCTAATCCAACTCTATGTAATACTTTTACTTTTAAAGTGCACGGTTGGAGCTCTCTATTTCCATTTTGCCTCACTGGCGTTTTTGAATTGCTCATATACATAATTAGATAAATAACAAATGGTTAAAACTTCTCTTTCCAACTAAAGCAAAATTTAGTTGATCTGTTAAAATCAAATTAAAGCAAGCTGAAGCCAGCAGGTTGGGGCCGACTGAATACTACTCCTATATGTATAATACAGTTTAGTTTTATAAGCTATTTTCTTTGCCAATGTGCGCGTGCACGTAAAATTATCAATGTTTGTTTTTATTTGTTTTGTGGAATTAAGTTATTATATACGCTTTGGCCATGAAAATTTCAAATATTACTTGAATTGAATTTCGGAATATTTCAGAAATTTAAAAAACTCCAAAAAACTGTTTTTCAAAATATATTCACTTCAAATCACTCATAAAATTCAAAAACAATATCAAATTGTATTCATGTCCAAACACAACTTTAATTTTCAAATACCATTTTCACTTGATTTTTTGTTTATTTTTTTCAAAATTTCACAATTCTTATGTCCAAACGCCCACCAAGCAAGTTGCACGTAAAAAAGTTGTAGGAATTTTATACAAATTATATGACATATATCCTCTAAAAAATTGAAGGAATTTAATACATGTCAGACATCGGAAGTTTGGAGATGTATAATACAGTAATATATATGCACATTTATTTAATAAGAGAAAAAAACACCTTCAAATAACAACAAGCCTCTTCGTTGTCTTCCAAAATACTTTACAGAATAAATGCTTCGAACTGTATGCACTTAACAAAATGACATCTCTATGGCAGGGTATATGTTTCACATACACAAAAAGATTGATTTGATATATTTGTCACAATGTATATATACTTTCAAAATATGCCCCATGAAATTGGCATCTTCTTTTTCCATTCATTATCCACACTGTGCATTCTACAGAATCAAATAGAAAATAACAAAATATAGGCAAGACAATGGCCACCTTCCTAATTCGTTTTCTTTGTAGATTGTCCATAGAGACAGCTTATCATTCAAGTTACCAAAGGAGACAATAATAAAGAATCTTGCAAGTGAAAGAGATGCTTTTTTAATGATTTTCTTGATTCATTTCTAGCCGTGAACTTCATTTTCCAAATAACAGTTTTACTTTGCTTTTGGTGGAAGTAGTGATGTCTCCCTAAAATTTCATTATTTCAGCCATTATTAGTAAAAAACAAGTACTAAATTCGTCATAGAAAATTCCAATATTTTTTTTTCCTCGATAATAAAAGGCTAGCTGACAGTAGTATAAATTTTGAGGAATGTAATTTGACTCATTAACGTGACATTATCCAGATGCCCTGGTATTGGAAGAAGTGGCTTATATTTAGCACTACATTAGCCAACAGTCTTCTCAACTTTATATCTCATTTTCTGGTACCAATTAGTGAGATCAAGATACATGTTCCTATATACGGTCAAACCTCAGCATTCCTACATAACAACCATTCATTATAAAAGTCAAGTTTTCCTCAGAATCGATTTTTTAAGTTATATTTTATCTCTCCATAACAACTTTTTACCTACAACAATATTGACCATATTTATATCAGAACACTCTATGTAAAATTACTCCTCTATAACAGCCATATAGAATCTTTAGGTTACTATTGAGATAACACTGTATTTAACAACCTCCTTCTTGTATATATTTCCGAGTAGTTTACTTAGTTTAGTTGGTTAATTAGTTAGTTAGTACACAGTAGCTTAGCTGTCAGAGTAGTTGAAGTTAGTTAGTGGGACTGTATCCACATGTATATATACATCCCTTTGGGATATTAAAAATAACACAATTCATTCTCTCATCTTTGAGTATCAAGTCTCCTTCTCTCTTAGCTCATGCGAAGGTTCTGGACTCCATCAATGGAGTCTTTGATCGAGAGTGAAATTGGTTGTCCAATTGCATAAATTGACATGGTATCAGAGCAGAGGAACTTCCGATTCAATCGTTCCTGACATCTCCTAGCTCAAATAATTTGAGCAGTGTTCCTCGATACTTCTCGATCGATATGTACGGTGTGAGCTTCATCTCATCATCAATTTTATTTTCCAAAATTCTACTTTTATTTTTTACTTTGTATCTCTTCAAATTTCAATATGGCTGTTTTCGATCAAACAGATGCAAGTCGTACTACCACAGATGTTGAAATTGTTGTCAATCCTATGTTGGATCCCAGCGATCCTCTCTACTTACACCCATCGGACAATCCTGGAGCTATGCTAGTTAGTGTAGCTTTCAGTGGAATTAGATATAGGTCTTGGAAACGTGCAGTTTTGCGTGGTCTTTCTGTTAAAAACAAAACTGGTTTCATTAGCGGAGAATGTAAACGTCCTGATCCTCAATCACCAAAATTTCGACAATGGGACCGGTGTGATGATATGGAAACCTCGTGGATTCTGAATTCACTCTCAGAGGAGATAGCATATAGTGTAGAATATGCTAGTGATGTTGTTGAATTATGGAAGGAATTGGAAGATCGATATGACCAAACTAATGGTGCGAGATTGTATCAAATTCAAAAGGAAATCAATGACTTGTCTCAAGGAGTTCTAAACATAACTGGTTACTACACTAAATTGAAGAAACTCTGGGAAGAAATGAGTACTCTGAGTGCAAAAAAATAGTGCAGTTGTCAGTGTAACTATGGTGCTAAGGAATGTATGCACAAGGCTGAGCAGGATAGGAGACTAATTCAGTTCCTCATGGGGCTTAATAGTGTAGCACGATTGTGCGCACCGCATTTGAAATTGTGCGGTGCGCAGTAATTCAACTGCGGCCGCAGATTAAGCAATTTTCTGTCTTCAGAGAGTTGTCATTTTTTAGGTCCCGACATGCGGCCGCCCTCAAAATTGTGCGGATCGCATTTCAATTGTGCGGTCGCACTAAAAATTATGCGGATCGCAGAATCATCACTGCGGCTGCACTTTCAAATTGTCCGGTCCGCACAATCCTATCTGCAGTGTTACGACCATAGTTCTTCCTCCGTGAACCGTCGTGACGACACCTAATCTCTATGACTAGGTAAGCCTAACATTTGCAGAAAAAAGAACGGAAACATAAAAGCTATCAACTAATAAGTAAATTTAAACAAGGAAATGAGATGCCACTCAACATATACAATAATCTCTTCCAAACAGTACATAAACTCTCCCAAAACCCGGAATGTCATAAGTCACAAGCTAAAGAAAGAAACAGTACGCCCATACTCCAGTGTCTAATAAAAGAAGAAAATACAAGAAGTGTTTAACATGAGGAAGAGTAGATAAGGACTCCGAGGTCTGCGGATGCGGCAGATATACCTTGAAGTCTCTACAGCCGCCTCGACTCACTGGTAATGCGACTGATGTGCGGTACCTGGATCTGCACACGAAAAACATGTGCAGGAAAGGGCATGAGTCACCACAACGGTACCAGTAAGTGCCAAGCCTAACCTCGGTCGAGTAGTGACGAGATTAGGCCAGGGCCCTACTGGTATATATATAATAAAATAAGACAGAATGAAATATTGCAGTAAAGATAAATACTAAAAGTTAATGAGAATGAAATCACAGAAAAACAACAGCTTAATACACAGAGATAACAACAGGGGATTTCCAGGATACCACCCCGTAGTCCCAAACGTAAATGTGCAGGGGGATCTACCGGAATACCGTTCTGTAGTCCCAAACGTAAATGTGTAGGGAGGATCTACCGGAATATCGTACCGTAGTCCCAAAGTAAACATGCAGGACAGGGGGATCTACTGGAATACCGCTCCGTAGTCCCAAACGTAAAAGTGCAGGGAAAATCTACCGGAATACCGTTCCGCAGTCCCAAAGTAATATGCAGCTCAACCAACAGAAATAATAGTTACAACAAGAAAACCATAATTTAGGCTAAGTCCCGAGTCAAGGAAGAACATGAAATTTCATTAAACATGCTACATAGAGTTCAGATAGGCAGTTAAGGCACGTAGACATGCTTTTCTAAACTAAACAGGATACTTACATAGGCTAGTGTAGCACAATTTAAGGAAAAGAGATATTTTACTTAATGCAAACGGAGTTTTTTCAACAAATAGCCCGTGTACGCACACGTCACCTCATGTACACGACGCTCATATATCAAATAGTACCATATCCTAAGGGGAGTTCCCCCACACAAGGTTAGGCAAGCCACTTACCTCGAACCAAGCTCAAAAGCCTAACGAGCGGAACAAAGTTAAAGCAAGAAATTGGAAAAATCGCTCAAAAGCCTCCCCGGGCCCACGTCTCGGAATCGAGTAAAAGTCACCTAATAAAAATACCCATACTCTCACGAGTTCACTCGTACAAAAATCATCCAAAACCAACATCTAAATCCCACTCAAAACTCATATTCTTTGTTGGGGAACTTTTTCCCCATTTTCCCAGCTCTCTCACTCAAATCCCCTAATTAGATGAAGAATATAGCAATAGATTAATGTAATATGATCAAAATCGAGTTAGGAATAGTTACCCAATAGCTCTCCTTCAAAATCTCTTGAAAATTCTCCTTCTACCGAGCTCCAAATTGAATTTTGTGATATGAATTTCAAACCCTTGAAACTCCCCTTTTCTGCCTAGCAATTTTCGCTTCTGCGTACCCAGGACCGCATCTGCGGTCCCGCTTCTGCGACAGGGACTCCGCATCTGCGAGTTTTCATTGAAATCCAGAGTCCGCACCTGCGCTCCTTCGTCCGCATCAGCGGCTATATCGTCCGCTTCTGCGGAGCCTTGGGTCCTTCATACCTCCGCATCTGCGACTACCCTTCTGCAGATGTGGCTCCGCTCCTGCGACTCCCTCTTCGCATCTGCGACCCCTGGCCTCTATGCCCAAGCCCGCACCTGCGACTCCTTCCTCGCTTCAGCGCGGCGGCACCTGCGGGCTTCCCACCGCAGGTGTAAAAACACCAGAACCAGCCAACTTCAGAATATGCACAAGTCCAAATTTCAACCCGTTGAGCATCTGAAACACACCCGAGGCACCCGAGACCTCAGCCAAACATACCAACCAATCCTAAAACACCATACGAACTTAGTCGAGCACTCAAATCACGTCAAACACATCTAAAAACACCAATCAACCTCCGATTCAACCTTAAAGAACTTGAAACTTCCAAATTCGACAACCGATGCTGAAACCAACCAAACCACGTCCATTGACCTGAAATTTTGCACACAAGTCATAATCCACACTACCGACCTACTCCAACTTCAAAAATCAGATTCTGACCCCGATATCAAAAATTCCGCTACCGGTCCGTATCTCTAAATATTCGACTTTCGCCATTTCAAGCCTAAATAACTACGGACCTCAAAAACACAATCCGAATACGCCCTTAGGATCAAAATCACCCAACAGAGCTAACGGAATCAACGAAACTCCATTCCAGAGTCGTTTTCACACTGTTTCGACTACGGTCCAAATCATAAGACTTAAGCTCCCATTTAGGAACTAGTGTCTCAAAACACTCCAAAACTCAAAATGAATCATCCCGGCAAGTCACAATAGAAGAAATAGATATCGGGGGCAGTTAATAGGGGATCGGGGCACTAATTCTCAAAATGACCGGCCGGGTCGTTACATCCTCCCCCTCTTAAAACATTCGTTCGTCCTCACACGAGCATAGAGACATACCTGAAAGAGTGAAAAGATGAGGATAACGCTGCGCATATCTTGCTCGGTCTCCCAAGTTGCCTCCTCGACCGGCTGACCCCTCCACTGAACCTTTACTGATGCAATGTTCTTTGACCTCAGCTTTCGATCCTGCTTGTCAAATATAGCACTAGCTCCTCAACATAAGATAGATCTTTGTCCAGCTGGACTGAGCTGAATTCCAACACGTGAGATGGATCACCGTGATACCTCCGGAGCATCGAAACATGAAATACCGGATGAACCCCTACCAAGCTGGGAGGTAAGGAAAGCTCATAAGCAACCTCCCAAACACACCGCAACACCTCAAAGAGACCAATAAACCTTGGGCTCAACTTTCCCCTCTTTCCGAATCTCATAACGCCCTTCATAGGCGAAACCCGAAGCAAGACTTGCTCTTCAACCATAAATGAAACATCGCGAACCTTCTGGTCTGCATAAATCTTCTGTCTGGAATGGGCTGTACGAAGTCTATCCTGAATCACCTTAACCTTCTCCAAGGCGTCCTGAACCAAGTGTGTGTCCAATAATCTAGCCTCGTCCGGTTCGAACCAACCCACTGGGGACCGACACCGCCTACCATACAGAGCCTCACACGGTGCCATCTGAATGCCGGACTGATAACTGTTGTTGCAGGCAAACTCCTCAAGTGGCAAGAGCTGCTCCCAAGAACCTCCAAACTCCATCACACACGCACGGAGCATATCCTCAAGAATCTGAATAGTGCGCTCGGACTGTCCGTCTGTCTGTGGGAGAAATGTTGTGCTCAACTCCACCCGAGTACCCAACACCTGCTGTACGGCTATCCAAACCCGTAATGAAAACTGCGTACCCCGGTCAGAGATGATGATACTGTCACGCCATGAAGTTTGATAATCTCATAGATATAAACTCGAGCCAACTACACGAAAGAATAGGTAGTCATCATAGGAAGGAAATAAGCTGACTTGGTCAGCCTATCTAAAATCACCCAAACTTCATCATACTTCTGCTGAGTCTGTGGGAGTCCAACAATGAAATCCATAGTGATCCGCTCCCATTTCCACTCCGAAATCTCTAACTTCTGAAGCAATCCACCTGGTCGCTGATGCTCATATTTCACCTGCTGGCAATTTAGGCACCGAACAACATACTCCACTATATCTTTCTTCATCCTCCTCCGTCATTAATGCTTCCTCAAGTCCTGATACATCTTCGCGGCACTCGTATGAATAAAGTACCACGAGCAATGAGCCCCTTGAAGAATCAACTCACGTAAACCATGTACATTAGGCACACATAGCCTGCCCTGCATCCTCAATGCATCATCATCCCCAATAGTGACCTCCTTGGCATCACCGTGCTGGACCGTGTCCCTATGGAGCAGGTGGGGGTCATCATATTGACGCTCCCTTATACGATCATAAAGAGAAGATCGAGAAACCACACAAGTCAATACTCGACTAGGCTCAGAAATATCTAATCTCACAAACTGGCTGGCTAAGGCCTGAACATTCAACGCCATGTGCGTCTCTGCTTGCAATAGATGAAAATCCCTCAAAAAATCGATGGTAATACCCCGACAACCCAAGAAAACTCCGGATCTCTATAGCTGAGGATGGTCTGGGCCAACTCTGCACTGCTTCCACTTGCTTCGGATCCACCTTGATCCCTTCACTCGATATCACATGACCCAAGAATGCCACGGAATCTAACCAGAACTCACAGTTTGAGAAGTTTGCATATAATTTCTTTTCTCTAGGTCTGAAGCACTGTCCTCAGGTGCTGCTCATGATCTTCCCGACTCCGGGAGTACACCAGAATGTCATCAATAAAGACAATGACGAAAAAGTCATGATAAGCCAAATCACACTGTTCATCAAATGTATAAATGCTGCCGGGGCTTTGGTCAGCCCAAATGACATAACAAGGAACTTGTAATGACCATACCGAGTCCTGAAAACAGTCTTCCGGATATCTGGCTCCCTAA